TTAGTTTATATTCCCATCTGTCTAAAGCGTGAGTAGTTCCCACACGTCGTAATTAGTTACCTGGCATGATAAATACATATATATGTATATATATATATTTTGTTTGTTTGTTTGTTTGTTTGTTTGTTTGTTTTGTTTTTTTTTACTTCACAGATGTAACGTTGCAGATTTTACAACAAGCAGAGGATCAGTTAGTCAATACCAGTAGTTCACAGCTTAGCAACAAGCATATGGAAAAGAGAGCGATACCGGACTTCGGATACCCAAATCTGATGGATGTGGCACACATGTCGGAAAACATTCAGCGAAGATTGTTGGGTTGAGATCCTCACCCAAAGAAAACCTAAAGCAAATTCACCTTAAAACTTTCTTTCTTAAAGAGAGGAAGCTTGTTTACAAGCATTTTCTTACATAGTACTAGCTCTGAAGCCGCTCAATGACTTATTGGGTTAAGGAATTAGATATAATATATTGGCAGCTCAGGAATGAACAGTGTTACTTGTCGCTGGCAATGTAGTCTTAAAAATAGCAGTCAGAACCCGTCAAATATACATTGAGACTTTCGCTGCTCAGATGTTAGCAGAGCTCAACGTAAGGCATGAAAGAGAAACTCTTGTGTAATATCTAGCGGTAACATGAAGTGCTATGCTAAAGCTGTAATAAACACTCGTCATTTTAGCTAGTGGTTTTCATGTTGTTGAAGGCCACTTCAGTGCAATAGTTGCAAATTGCTTACAAATCGAACAGAAATATTAATACATAATAATGCATTAATTAAACCCTGAGGGCTAAGGAATATAAAAAAAATATCGCAAACTTTTTGCTCGCGAATCTGCCCAAAAGCTGGGGGCAAACCTGGTGGGGGTGTGAGGGGGATTGAATGTTAAAGGCAAGGAGATGCACTTATCTAAAATTTGAATTAAGCCCCTCTGGGTGTGGGGCCAGTTTTGTTAGAACCCTGCAAAAACGCCAGTCTGTATCAGACAGACACTGATAAAAAATCCAAGATTTAGAGTAAATTTTCCATTACTTGAAGACTCAAAACTTTGAAAAAGTTTCCATTAACACTAAATTAATTCAAACCATGCACACACAGGCTATTTTATTGCAGATCTACTTCTCAGCAAAGAAAACTGTTATCACAAAACTCTAAGGACTTAAAACTGTGTGGCTTTACGTTAGAAACTTGAAATATAAACGACACAAGACATGAAAA